GTCGGCTCAAGAAGATAAAGCCAAATAATACAACAAAATGTGCAAACCTCTGGAGTCAAAAAAACAAAAACAAAAAGGAAGAACAAGCTCAGCATTTCTCAAGCTGGGGCAACTGAAGAAAAAATTCAAGCCTCGACTTTCGTTATTGAAGGATTCTCTGGGCAAATTACTGAATGATGAAGAAAGCATCAAAAGAAGGTGGAAGGAATACACAGAGTCACTGTACCAAAAGGAAATGGTTGAGTAGCATATGGTCTAGAGCCAATGATACTTAAGGAAGAAGTCCAAAGTGCATTGAAGGAACTTGCAAAGAACAAGGCACCAGGAATTGATGAAATGAAAATTGAAATCTCTCAAGAAAGTGAGGCGGCACAGGAGGCACTCACTCATCTCTGCCAAGAAATCTAGAAGACAACTATCTGGCCAACTGATTGGAAGAGATCCGTATTTGTGCCCATTCCAAAAGAGGTGACCCAATGGAATGCGGAAATCATCGGACAATCTCTTCTTTGATACCCCATGCCGAGTAAAGTTTTATTAAAGGTAATATAGAAATAAATGCCTGCAAGCATACATTAACAGAGAACTTCCAGAGGTTCAAGCTGGACTCAAAAGAGGCCATGGAATGAGGGCTATCATTTCTGACGTCTGATGAATCTTGGCTGAAATCAGAGACTATCAGAAAGATGTTTACCTGTGCTTTACTGGCTACGCAAAGGCTTTCGATTGTGTGGATCATGACAAACTATGGAAAACATTGCTAAGTATTAGTATTCTGGAACACTTAATTGTGCTCGTGAGGAATCTATATGGACCAAGAGGCCGTTGTTTGAACAGAACATAGGAACACTGAATGATTTAAAATTAAGAAATGTGTGTGACAAGGTTGTATTCTTTCACCATATTTATTCAACCTGTATGCTGAGCAAATAATCCAAGAAGCTGGGTTATATGATGAAAAACGTGACATCAGGAGTAAGACTCATTAACAACCTGCGATATGCAGATGATACAACCTTGCTAGCTGAAAAGTGAATAAGACTTAATCCATTTACTGATGAAGATCAAAGAGCACAGCCTTCGATATGGATTACATCTCAATGTAAAG